GCTGGCTGAGGAATTCTGGGAGTTGAAGTCCACAAGTCTTAAAGTTGCCAAGGCTGGAGACCCCTGGCCTATAAGATGTTTAAAAATAGGGAAGGGGCGCGGGGCAAGAGGAGCGCGGACGGAACTCCGAGGACCAAAGCTTCGCTGTCACTCACAGGGGCCGAATCAGCAGCTGGTCGCTCTCTTCAGCCGGGACGAAGGCTTCGGTTCTCCTCCTCGCCGACATCTTTAGCAGGAGGGAGAAGGGCTCGGCTTGTCTTTCACCGGCAGTTGTACATCACTGAACCCGCCCTCCGCCTCCCCCCCCCCACTCATACACACGCGCGCTACCCTAAGACAACCGGAACTACAACTTCTCCCTCGCGTTATCTTTGATGGCGCATGCGTACTATCATATTGCCGCTTCTACAGAGGGAGAAAGAGCGCTGAGAAGGGCCGGAAGTTCCCTGGTATAATGGGTGGTACCCGGAAGGAGAAGAAGGCGGAGGAGAAGCGGGGCTGTTCTGGCCCCAGATGTTATTGGTGTGCTGGCGCGTGGAGGAGTTGTTCCGCGTAGTCGCGGAGCGCTTCGAAGGCGATGCAGAGAGGGAAAGTATCTGAGCTCAGAAAGAGGCGATTTATTATTATTATTATTTTGTTATCTTTGTAGGTTTGTAAAGTAGGGTAGCCTTTCCCTCCTTTTCTGTTCTCAGAAAGGTTTGAACCAGTCGGTTTTCTTCCATTGGGGTTGTTTCCATCCACCTGGTGATGCGGTCAAGGCTTCACCGGGTGGATTTCCACCCGTGATGCTGATTTTCGGGGTCCAGAAGCAAAAGGAAGGGGGAAAAAAAGAAGTTAATATATAGGTAAGGTAATATCATGATTAAGACATTTGGAAATTAAGTGGGAATGTTTCCTCTCTTTGCAGCCGACAACCGGGGCTTCTCAAACAACGTTGTCCGATGAACCCTAATAAAGAGAATATTCTTCAAAGCCTAAACGTCGGTTTGAAGTTTTAGCAGCATTCGCACAACTCTCTTGAATAACAAGCTAATTACTATGGACGTTTCAGTCCCGGGCACTTGATAAGCTCTCTTGTGTGATCGCTACCGTTCAGTCATCATGCAAGACCTGATGGATTATTGGAGGGGTCTTCAAATTTGCAGTTTTAAGACTTGTGGACTTCAACTCCCAGAATTCCTCTTCCAGTCATGTTAGCTCAGGAATGCTAGGAGTTGAAGTCCACAAGTCTTAAACTTGCCAAATTTGAAGACCCTTGGATTATTAGATTAAACCATTGGGGACTACCCAAATCCAGCCTTTATGTCAGTAGTGTTATGACAGTTCAGCATACAATCTTTTTCAGAGGAAATTTAATTTGTTAATAACACTAAGTAAAAGTTGATGTTTGCTCATATTTTGCTTCCCAGCTTCTCAGAAGCTTCTGGTTAGTCAAAGAATATCGGTGTAGACTGGTTTTGATACGTCTACTTTGTTGAAGGTAAATATTTAGGCATATTTCCCCCAGAGAATTATGTTGCATTCTCTATTCTTTTCGCAATTTGAGTTCTATCCCAAGTGCAGTTGTATATCTGTGCAAAGCCCATGTATGTATGTTTTTAAGATTGCACTTTCAGTTGTATAAGAAACAGGATTTTCTTTTCTCTCTTTACAGCTTTAGTTTTGATTGTGCATCACTAAAAAAATGTTCAGGAAAGGAAAAAAGCGGCATAGCAGCAGCAGCTCACAAAGCAGTGAAATCAGTACTAAAAGCAAAGTAAGATATACTTGATATATAGCGTATCTTAAAACATCTGTTCCATCTATGGCTTATCCAGATGTGATCTTGCTCACTTTTGCTCGAGGGAGGTTGTTTTTCAGCTCCCATCAACTCCAATCAACCCAGTCAGTAATGAAAATAAGGACCTGATCCTATTTTCAGAAGTTAGCACTTTATGAACTTAGGGTAGAATATACCTTTCAGACAGTTATGTAGACATCTATGCTTCTAGAAGAGAAGGGCAGCACATAAATCCAATAAAACCAACCAACCTCTGAAGTGTCTGAGCAATGAAATATACAGTATTGTTTCAGCCAAGAGCATGATTCCTTGCTTAAGCAAGTTATGTAAACAAAATATTTCTTCTGTACAGTACTATTGAATTTTAAGATGAGCTGCCTATTTTTAAATGCTAATGGCACGGAGGACTTGCTGTGAATGGATAATCAATGATGAATGTGATATTGCTTAGATTATGTGAAGAGTCTTTCAGAACAATTTTGCTACAGTATGAAAAAGGGGACTGAGGGAATGCTGTGGTGATGTTCATTGTCATGGAATAGGCAAAGTGAATCTGACATCAGCTTCTGCAGGGTGGAATAAGGCAGGGCTGAATAAAAACACAATGTATTTGTGTCATCAAGATCAAATATATAAGGGTGGGATTTGTATCAGTGTCAATCCAGATATCATTTGCCATGATTCTGATTTGTTGCAGACCCCCCCAGATTTGGCAGCTGGGGGGAGGGGAAATCACTTTTATCTTCTTCCAGGATATTTTATTTCAAGTTTTTAATTTATCTTACTTAATGTGATCTGTAAACCTGGACAATTTTTCCCGTTTTGCCACTGTTCACTTAATTTAAATGAAATCAACTTTATAAAACTGGTTTTTCTTTCAGTAAACCAAAGTAAATGTTAGTTTAGAACTCAATCAAAACTCTGTTAACTAAAAGTGGGAGCCGTTCTAGTTCTACCTTAGACATGTTGTAGGGAACATGGGGGGAGGAAAGAACATTGAGTGTGTTTGCTGCACTGAGTTATTTTATAAAAATAAAGATAGTATTAAAAATAATAAAAATAGAAGTGAAAGCTTTTAATTTCCTCCTGGTGGTTTTACTGTAGGCTTTCATTATGCTCATTTCCATAACAAATGAGAGTTCACTATGCAAGTGTTCATGATTAAAAAAAAAAACCTCAATGCATGTAATATTGATTAGATGTTTTTTGTAACAAATAGTGATTGAACCCCATGATGATTAGATACAACTTTTTAATATCAAGATCTGATTGTTTTCTTCTTGCTTTTGGTGAACCTAAGAAAAGAATCTCATCTTGTCAGCTAAATTTGTTTTTAAAAGCCCATATTAAAAAGGTATAATCTGTAAAATAATTGGACCATCTATGGTTGTAATGCATTTCATATTTAATACAGGTTTTCTATAAAAAAAAGGTTTGACCAGAATAACTTCATATTTTTCCTTATCTAGTCAGTGGACTCTAGCCTTGGAGGCCTTTCAAGATCTAGTACTGTTGCTAGCTTGGATACGGACTCTACAAAGAGTTCAGGTATGAAACTTGTTGAGGTGTTATGTTGACAAGACTACGTAGCTGAGTAAGTATTTAAAACAGTATGCTATTATATGTGGGGATGTCTACATTTGACATTATTTTTCAAAACAGAAATTTTTATCCTTATTATCTCAGCTGGGTTTTTGAGGATTTCGGATACTTTGTCCTGGGGAGGTTTAGAATTATGCGTACAAGGACTATGAAATTGCTTCTGGGTGATGTTAGCCATTTTAGAAGGCAGAATATAATGGTTAAGAGAAACACAGTGAAGATCATCAAGGATACGCTGGCCTTACTTAAGGCACTAAAAACCTGGTTCTTCCCTTGGGCATTGGGTCCGAGTGTAGGATAATCTCATAGAAATTAAAGATACTGAATGGAATATGCAGAGCTTGACCCCAGTTACTTTGTTATTTTTTTATTTTCTGGATTTTTGTTATGTTTTTTTTTAAAGTTTTATTTCTGTTTCTAAGCAATTTAAGATATCTGAACTCTATGAATTTGGTAACCATAACAATCAAATAAATATGGAAGATTAGACGTGGAGGGAGACCTCTAAAAACACTGGGTTTATTCAGTTTTGATTCTTGAAAAGACACAAGGTTTCCAGAATAAGGCTGCTCCACAGAAATGGATAAAGATTTTCCACTGTAGTGGGTAGATTTCAGTTTTCCTATTATTATGCTAAACCTCTTGAGAAAAATATACTTTGACAATGAAACTAATTTGAGAATGTGATGAGAGTATTTTTCTCATTAAACATCTTCAAGCAGAGGCTGGAGTGTTAAGGGATCTTTTAAGTTCTAGACCACGGGTGTCAAACTCGATTGTGTCATGGGCTGGATTGTGACGTATCGTGGCATTTTTTGCCTTTGCGGAGCTGGGGTGGGCGTGGCCTGCACATGACATATCTGGCCCATGGGCTGCCACTTTGACAGGCCTGTTCAAAACTGAATAAGATATTGAACTAAAGAGGCTACAGAGCTCTTCTGTCATGCTTCCAAAGTGATAATGCAGGGGTGTTAAATTGGATTTCTTTGAGGGCCGGATCAGCATTGTAGTTCTCCGCAGGCTGGTGGGGGGAGGCAGGGAGCAGGGAGGGGAGTTGGGATGGACAGCCTCCTGAAACACCTTGCTGGCCAAAACACGGTGCAGGGGAGTTGCATGTGCCTCCCCCCCCGCACCTTGTTTTCGGCTTCTATGGCCTCTTGCAGTACTCTCCCACCTGAAAACGAGCTGCACGGAGGCACCACAAGGCCCTATGTGGCCAACTTTTGCCCAGCAGAATGCTGCTGGAGGCCGGGGAGGCCAAAAATGGGCCACGTGGGGGTTGCACAAGGCCTCTGCGAGGCCTGTTTTTGTCTGGTCCTTTGACATTTCCAGGCCGGCCTCACAAGTCAGATTTAAGCAACCTGCATGCCTTGATTTTGAGACCCCTGTGATATGAAAATAATGCTTAAAGGTGACTTTCTTGGTGTAGCAGGGGTGTCAAACTGGTGGCCCGCGGGCCAGATGAGTCACATGCAGGCCACATAACCCCCAGGTTAAGTACTTTCTCTCCTGTGGACTTTTCCAATATTAAAACCAGCAGTTTTGAGAACATGGTGCCAATGTTATTACATATTAGTTCAGTTATGTGAGAATCGGAGTCCCTTTTAATGTCCTAAGCAGCTTGTTAACAACTAAAATGACTTAGATGTGTGTTTAAATGTGTTGCTTTGTAGGCCAAAGTAACAGCAATTCAGATACTTGTGCTGAATTTCGAGTGAAATATGTTGGTGCTATTGAAAAACTGAATCTTGAAGAAAGCAAGACTTTAGAAGGACCCCTGGATTTGATTAATTATATAGATGTGGCACAGGTAAAGGTTGTCAATTTTAGCTAAGTTACTTAATCATGGTTTTTTAAATGAAATGAATGGATTTGCATGAATAAGCCATGAACTAAAATTCACACACCCCAATGACAGGATTCTTATAATACTTCAAAGCAAAAGCAGTTAAGCTACATTGGACTTAGCTTATGTAAAGCACTTGGCTTGCCAGCTATCTCAAGAATTTAGATACAACATGCTTTTCAATTACTAACAAAAAGTGCTTTGACAAATCACAGAAAGAAATAGGACAAAGAAAAAAAATAGTATGAGAAATCCTTTTAGCAGTAAAGAGTTACAATTCTATGACTATTTCTCTAATCAAAATAGACTGAGCAACTGCCATTTATGTTTTCATGTCAGAATACCATTTTTATTTTATTTTCCAAAGCAAGATGGAAAGCTGCCCTTTGTTCCTGGGGAAGAAGAATTTATCATGGGAGTGTCCAAATACGGGATTAAAGTTACATCATTGGACCAGTATGTAAGTAAATGAGTGATTTTAAAAGATGCAATTGGCATGATTATAGGAGCAATATAAATTCTTTTATCCTTCCTCTGGGTGATTCTACAATAGAAGTTTGCAAACAGCTTGAATGAAGGAGGGATGACATTCTGTGGCCTGCTTATTAGACCACGTCCTTCATTTTAGCTTGTGTTGCTGAGCTTTTTGAATATCCTATTCAAGAAATTACTAAGTTTACTAAAACAAGAATTGAAATGAATTCATAAAACCTCCAAGGGGCAAAAAGTCTCAATTTCTACTTTAAATTCCATCCAGAAATGACTTGGGTTTTTTAGATCTGCTGACCTGTAGCTTACCTCTACCCCATGAAGTTCAATGTATTTTCAGTAAAAACCTTTCGGCTAAAAAGGATCATCTACATCTGGTTTAATACAGAAAAAGCATTATTGGAATCTTGTTCCAAGCTTGATTGTGTATTTGAGTCCTTGAGGTTTAAAAAAATGGTGTCTGCCTTGCAGTGGTGGGATTCAAATATTTTTACCACTGGTTCCATGGGCATGGCTTGGTGGGAGTGCTTTGCGTGCGTTTACACACTTTGTGTGCGTGCGCATGCCAAACACACACTTCGCGCAGGCACAGAAGCGTTCTAACTCACCTCCTGCAAGCCTGCACTCTCCCGGTCACTTCAGCAGCTGCCGCACGGCACTCTGCTGTGCCGTGCAAAGCAGCTGTGCTTCAAATTCAGAGGATAAAGGTTAGTATGGGAGCCCGGCTGGGCGGGTGGGCCCAACAGCAGAGCAGTGAACTAGTTCGGTCTCCACTGCTCATCGCTGCTACCGGCTCGGCAGAACCAGGCTGAACCGATAGAATACCACCACTGCTGCCTTGTTGTAAAATGTTGCACTGACAATGTTGCAACAGAATGAGAATCCATTTCTCTTTCAGAATATTCTGTTCACTCTATCAGCCAATTTCTATTGCCCTTCTCCCCCAAGAGATTTGCTGTCCCTGGGTTGAGTTTTGTTTTTGGCTTTCTCTTTAGAATTCCCCCACCACCTAGGGTTATTTGAACATGTTGGAATTTATTACTGGTTCTCTGGATGGAGAACCAACAGTAGAAGCTGGTTCAAGTAACCCAGTTCACCAGCTGAATTTGTTGCTTAGGCATAGTATGGTCTTAAGACAGATGATATGTGGCTGGAATTTCCTAAGGAAATTTAGTGAATGACTTATCCCCAAACAAAAACAGCTATTTACTTTCAAAACTAATGATTGCATTGAGAGTTTTCGTCTCCTTTCATCTATCCCTAGATAAAAGGAATTTCTTTTTTCAAGAGAGATGGATGTTAGCTAATGTTTGTTATTTTCTCTCATTATTTATTGTTAAAACAGATGCACCGTACATTTCAGTGTTGGTTGTCTTCACTCATCTAGGCTCCTAAACTTGTGGTCATCGCTAGCTTACCAATACAGGAAATTAGATGTTGGTAGTCTATGAATAACTTTTCAAAGTAATAATTTCAGTAAATGCGGTGCAAAACAGTCTCTTTCCAAAGGCTAGCTTTGAGGATTTGGAAGTTTGGTGATATGGTATCTTTTTTCCCCACTCTCTTTCATGATAATTTAAATTAATTAGTAGAACTTTCAGGATGTTTTGCATAGACATGCACTCTACCTAATTGTCCGGATGGTCTGCTATGATGATGGCTTAGGAGCAGGGAAGAGTTTACTGGCTTTGAAGACAACCGATTCAAACGCCGAAGAATATCATCTTTGGATTTACCAGTGCAATAGCTTGGTAAGTTTTGTGTATATTTTAAAAAGCCACTTACCACATATTCATGGCAAGATACTATTTAACATGTATTGGGCCAATCCCTATGCATTATTCCCCAATATGTGTGTTAGTCCAAAATGTGACAGAATTGGTTTAAGATGCCAACATGTTCTCTGTCCCAGCCAGCAGAGCTAATGGAAAATACATACATAGGGGTTGTACAAGTAGTCTTCGACTTACAACAGTTCATTTAGTGACCAAAGTTACAATGGCACTGAAAAAGGGGATTCATGACCATTTTTCGCACTTATGACCATTGTAGCATTCCCATGGTCATGTGATTTACATTTGGATGCTTGATAGATGACTCACATTTATGACAGTTGCAATGTCCCGAAGTCATGTGATCACCTTTTGCGGCCTTCTGACCAGCAAAGTCAATGGGGAAACCAGATTCGCTTAAACAAACCGTGTTACTAATTTAACAACTGCAGTGATTCACTTAACAAATGTGGCAAGGAAAGTTGTAAAATGGGGCAAAATCCCACTTAACAAATTTCTCACGTAACAACATAAATTTTGGGCTCAATTGTGGTCGTAAGTTGAGGACTATCTGTAGTTCATATCACTTGGAGAGAATATACCATCCCGCTCCTAGACCACTAGTCAAAAAAAAAACAGTAGAGGTATTATAACCTGTGCTATCGATATCCCTCAACTTAACAACAATGGGGACTGGAAGCGATCACTACGTGAGGGAGTTGCACCACTTTTTTTTTTTTTTGCTATGGTTGTTAAATAAATTTGGCTTTTCCCATTGGCTTTGCTTGTCAGAAGCTGCCTGGGAGGGTCACAAATGACGATCATATGCCCACCCACCCCCAATGCTGCAACGATGGTAAATACATGCCGAATGCCAAGTACTCAAATTTTGATCTCACAATCATAAGGGAACATTACGATCGTTTAGTAAGTGCTGGTTGTAAGTCACTTTTTTCAGCACGGTTGTGATTTCAGCCACTAAACAAATGATCATAAGTCAAGGACTGTCCGTATTAAAGAGCCGTTGGTCATTAAATCAATTCTGTTCTATATCCCACAAGTTACATTCTTGGAGCCACTATTACATGTAGTAAGCATTTGTCAACTGGAAGCTGAAGCAGAAAACAGCCTTAAGTGGTGCAGTAAATTGTTTTGTATGCTGGTGGTAACAAAGAGTTTATTATTTTCTAAAATGCAGGAACAAGCACAAGCTATTTGTAAAGTGCTGTCCACAGCCTTTGACTCAGTTTTAACATCTGATAAGTCCTGAATACTGTATCGATACATCATCCATGAAAAAGAAGTTCTTCTTCCTATGACTTCAACACCTGGAGAAAAAAAAGTTCATATCTGCTCCAGAATACTTTTTAAATTATTTTGGTATAATGTTTAAACTATATGTAATTTTGTCATTACCGTTATTAAACAATGGGACCAAAAATCCACCAAATGTTCTCTTATGTGGAAGTCTGTGCTAAATTACACTATTTTAACATTTTATAAACTTGAAAAAAATTAATGAAATGTCTATTCCAGGGCTGTCAAACTCATTTCATTGGGGGCCACATTAGGGTTGTGTTTGACCTCAGGGTGTGTGTGTGTGTGGGGTATGTGGCCACCTCAACGTCACTTATCAAGTCTCTGGTTTTGGCCATGATGGCCTCCTGCAGCTGTCAGCAAAAATGAAATTCCGGGAGGTCACACGTGACCCTCCCGAGCTCCATTTTCACTGGCAGAAACACCGCGGGCTGGCCCATTGTTTCCAGGGTGGCCCCACAGGCCATATCTAAGCATCCCGCGGACCAAATTCAGCCTGTGTGCCTTGAGTTTGACACCGCTGGTCTATTCACTGCACTTTTTAAATTGCCTTAATATTTGTTAAGAAAAAAGAAGCATATCATGTAAGATCAGAGTTAGGAAGGCTACATATGTTGTGATTTACAAACTCTCAAGTTTTGGAGTATCACTCTTCCATTCCAGAACTCTCAATTGTTAAGGATATTGTTCACATAAACACAAAGAGTCAATATGAGGCTTAAAGTAGTTTATTTTTTCAGTCTAATGACTGATTTAACAGAAGTAAAATTAATCATGCTCCAATTATAAATCACTGCCTCTAGACACTAAAAATAAGAAATGGTCTTAGGTTATACAATGTATACAGTTGCTCTGCAACTAAACAATCAAAACCATCACATTAAAATTATACATCTCAAATAGCATTCTGAACTGCATTTTAAGTGTCTTATGCTCCTTTAAAAATGGTTAACACAGTAATCGCATGTGCTTGGTAACAGTTTGTTGAATATAGCGCTCTCTGCTGTCAGTCATGAAATCTCAATAACCTTACAGAGTTCAGCATATTTTTTTAAAAAAATCCAGATTTTCTGACTAGTTATGAGTTAATGTTACATGTCACAAAAACAGTATTGTGAGATGTTTCTTAGAAGCCTATCATACTGATGTAGTGTGAGAAAATACTCTTGTTTAAGATTGTCTAGTAGCCATAATCAAGTGTTTTTCAGGATAATCTGAAACTTTCAAATTAACTCCAGTCATTTTCTTCAGATTAATCATATCCTTAGGCAAATTTCCTAACTTTTATTTTTTATTTTTTGTTTGTCTGACAGCAACAGACAAACAAATATGATTCTATATTTGATGGTATTCTTGGTTTCAAAGAAATTTTGGCATTGGAAAACCATTTTAATCCAAGCATCTTGGAGTACATATCTAGTACAGTTCACTGGATCCTACCCAGTGTGAAATCTGAGTCTAAAGAAGCTTCATAAGGCTATTTTGCACATAGTTGTTGAAGGATTCTGTGTTAAACACTGTAAGTAATGTGCAAAATAATGTGACAAATTATTTCCTTGCATTTGCCAGGCATAAAAACATAAAGACTTGAACCCCAACTGAATTATCAGCCTCTGAATAAATGTGTAGTGGCCAACTATTCTCCTAATATACATATATATTTCAATGGGAACTTTGAATATGCAGACTTAGCTTTAAAACATACAACAAAACTAGCTTGAAAATATTCCAGTTTGCTCCTCCCATCACACTGCAGCCACTCATATTGTTCTTAATTTTAGCCAACTGATTTGCATCAATACATCTGACAAATTGCCTCAAATGTACCACTTCAGCAAGGCAACAGAAATATTGAGATCCAGCATTTCCCCCTATCCAATATAAATATACCAAAGGGTCCTTCCCATATCTGTTTCCACTTCCACTAGCCAATATATACATAATTTCTGTGTCAGAAATTCAAAGTTCTCTTGATAAATCTAGAGATACAATAGTCACAAAACTTGTGATCAAAGCCAATGTGACCTGGACATTGATATTCTAATTCTATGCTACCAGTGCACATTTGGGTAGCATATGCAAAATAAAAACTGTTACAATATCACAATATACAAACATTAAAAGGACATAGCTATGTTCTGTAAGAGTCTATTCATTTTGAATTATGAAATCTATTCACAATTATTAACAGTGTTTAACTACCATGTTCTAGGATATATTTCAGTACACAATGCAAGTCCGCAAACAGACTGAACTGCTTGCCAAACAACGGTGTGTACCTCAGCCCAGGGCCGTTTGGATCAGTGACTATGACACTGTTAACCATAGCAATCTCATTATGAACATACCACTATGTGCTTTACAACTTGTTTTCAAAGAAAAGGACTGTAAGTAATATTTCATAAACTTTCCCATTTAAATTTATCATCCCGGCTTCCCTCTTCCCCCCTTACCTCAAGGGTAATTAGTGTACGGCATAAAATATTAACTGCATATTTAGTATAGAAAACTATGACCTCATACTTATAAAACGAGGTAATCAGATTTCAGGTTTTAAAATATCTACACATCAAATTACTAAAATATTTCTTTAATGCAACTGAGGACATTCCTAACCAAGCATCTTCATGAATATGCATATTACTTATGTTTGCTGCTCCAAGGAAGCAGTCTTCCACTGAGATACATACAAGGGCCATGTGCAATTTTTTTCTTGGACTGCTTTAATCTTAAAGCTTTTCTCATGACTTCATGTACAAGGGGAGATTGGCAGGAAGAATAATACCTTCTTTCTTTTCCTCATAAACTGATAAATATTCCTAATTTCTTCCTTTGTATTACAAAGGTATAAAATCGTTATTTACCAAGTAGAGATATTCAGACCTCCATTTGTGCCAGTACAAGCCATCATAAGGAAACATAGGCTATTCAACCAATGGGAAATTGGACTAGGTTATTAGATCCCAAACTATTTTAACTGTGCTATGCAACAAGGTTTTGACCTTTTCATTGGACTCAAATGTTTCAAGCCTGCCAATGCTGCTGCCTAATGCAGAGTCATTTTCAAGCACATATTCATCACCGCTTGGGCGTAGTGATGTTTTGTCTCTGTGCAGCTGTAACCCTTTTTCGACAGGAGCAAGGGGTTCTAACTGTTCAGAGACATGGATTCTCTTTCAGCACCTAATCCTTAGGTATCTTATCTGGGGATTCTAGATTTGTTTTTCTGTAACAAAAATGCATGCTGGGTGAATGTGTACTTATACAGTTTTCCTCAAATGTGGTTAGATTATTACTTAGGACATTAAATAGGGCTGGGTTTCTATCACTTTCAGTCCTTTCCATCCATGCATTTAAAAAAAAAAGATTGAGATTGCTATTTAGAAGTCTTTGGCAAAAAGACTTCTCCCCCATCCTACTTCTCCGATCAATGGACATTTGTGGATGGCTGCGGACATGGATAAGAAGAAGCTCCACCATGTCACAACTGAGGGGGTGTTCTTATTTTTCTCAAAGTGTTTTAATGTACTAAATAAAACCAAAAGGAACTGTCATTCTTTAAAATGAAATTTCAACTTTCAGTTTACTTACAGTCCTGAGACTGATCTCAAAAGCCATACTCACCACTGAAGTTAAACACTTATTGTAGGCCTGACATTGGCACTAAAATGTAACGCATTAGTGCAGTCAAGAGATTAATCTTCTAGCTTTCTTAATATGCCTTTCACATTGTCATGGATTTGGGCTCTTGTGTTTTTGCAGCTTTTGGCAATCATCACAAACATTTTTAGTGGCTCTGTTGTTAGAAAAGTCCCATGGAAAATAATTTCAACAACTGCAATAATGAAAATTCAACTATGTTATTTTGAAGTATCCCAGTGAGGCATTTGATGATGAACAGGGAGTCCCAATGAAATCTAGAAAGGGAAACTTTCCACTTGCAGGGAGCTGTTTAATCAACAATAAAGTGCACAAATGATACAGGAAAAGCACCTTTCCGATTAGGATCTCCATCAATATGCCCAATCTGAAAAAGAGAAAATATTATAGAGTAGTTATGAATTCAATACGAGGACAACTAATAAAACAAATTTAAAATATTCTCAGTTCTTTTTAGCCATATAAAATTGTTTATTATTTATACATTGATTTTGTAAAATAAATTTTCACCGAAACATTTTCTTGCTCTTTTGGGACTCTGTCTCCAAAACTCTGAGGTTTCACCCAGGAACTGTAATTATGTAGGACCAGAAGTACTGATGGGGAAATTTTACTGCATGGTAGAAAGGATTTAATTATATTGGGTGAATACAGCCAATGAAATTTCCCTTCTTCGGTGCTACAAGACACATCATATTGATCTAAACGGAAACTGATCCTGAATTAAAACAATTCCCCCAAAAGGAGGTTTAGACTAATCTCCAATCTTCACTATATTCTCAGTAAAATCATATAAGTAATTTTTTTTTTTGCGGGGGGAGGGAGGAGAAATGGCACTAGCCTTTCTGCAATATTCTGGAATAAATTAGGTGAAAACAAGCAACGTGCAGCTTCAGCTCTCTTCCCTGCTATGATTGGCAGAATAACAAGATTACCATGTCCATGTGATGGCTGGTTTATATGACGTGCTTGGACAGAGGCTGGGTTCACTTCCACATGCTGAGTGACGCAACTCCATTTTAGCCTAGACTTGCACACTCTTGGTCAAGCTCATCATTCAGCTAACCTATGTGAAAAACTGTTTCCCCTGGCAAAGATCCAATTTTCTTGCCTGAGCAGGAAGGAGAGCAGGAAGGTGGCAGAGGAGGAGAGGGAGGGGCTCCTTGTTCTGCAACCCTCTCCCAACTCTTTAGGGAACAGCCCTGCAAAGTGAACCTAGTGTGAAATTTTGCCTAATCAGGAACTTCCTTTCCATGTTCCGCCAAGAGAGCAAGAAGAGCCTTTAGGAGCTGTCAATAGAAGCGTTCTCGGAACCTTGAAATAAATGTTCCTAACTGGTAATTTCACTGAATTCTTGGGACAGTAGGATTGAGCTGGCTGGGGGAGGACAAGAGGGAAAATGTTACCCCGCTGCCGATTTATCCAGATATGAATTCTGTACAAAAGGAAGGAATAAAAAAAGTCTCCA